GCAATAATATACACACTAACTCAGCCGTTGTGTCGGGTCCTTGATAAATCATATCATTAAGAGAAACACCCGCAAACTTAGCGGCACAGTCAAGGACCACTCTCAGTTTTTCTGGCTTTTTCGGGTTTATAACTGCATGGTGGGGCGAATACCAACGGGGGCGATAACTAGGTTGCAATTGTATTTCAGGGATCTTCTCCGCATAGCCCTTAATAAAATTACTTTCAATACTGTAAGATCCATTTTGAATGTGTTGTGTGTTGGTGAAAATCCCTCCATGTATATACTTACACCTTGTTCCTATTGATTCTTTTAGTTGTACATTGTTAACTTTTTGACTACATTTGAATTGTTAATATTTGTATGTTATTATAGTTTCGTTTTTACTGCACCTTCACCAATTCCCCATGTTTCTTCCCGAACTGCACTTATGTTGTTTTACTTTATACTAAGTCTGGGCGGCAGCCATTTTGGTTTATCCCTGCTTTTGATTGCTTGACCTGTGTTGACTGGAATTGTGCATTTTGGTTGTGAATTGAAGCACTCTTCCAGAATTGAAAACACTCTGTGTTATAGAGCGACCAATTATTACCTTTTAAACGAATCTGTACGTGATCTATCCAGACAGGATAGAATAACATTTATTTGTGGTGATTGATTTAATTGATTGAACAATCATTGGTTGAATAGCCGGGTGATAATATTTGTTTAGAACCGCTAGTTACCCGATTGCTTGTTCTGATTTCGACGGGAAAGGGCGCGTGTCTAAAATCCCCGGTCGGATATTCTTCAACATCCAAACCGTAGTTTGGATCCTACAATACCTTTTGTATACTTGATATACAGAATGTCATCTTTCAACAATCTACGCTTCAAACTCTGTAGTCTACTACTTGCCACTTCATAATTCCCCCCTTTCATATTTGGGTTCACTTTCCATGGTATAGGAACTACAAAATGACCATTTTCGAAGCGTGTGCCCTCTTCCACAATCCTTATAGCCGCCTTATCTTCTAGCGATGCTGATTTATCATTTGAATAAGCATCAGAAAACTCTACATCATAAAGTTTACGTATTTCGTTCTCCAAGGTCTGTATCTTACTGGTATGATTGACCACTCTTTTCCTATATTCCGGATACGACGCAGGTCCGAAGACCGTCCAATCCAGCAACGTCTTCACAGCGTACGGGCTTTTTCTCCCACCCAACCGCTGGTCTAACACCCAGTGTGCTTCTGGTACGTCGCAACCAATCAACAGCAGAACTTCTTTAGAGTCTAAGTTATCTATCGGTACATCCCTTAAATGTGGCCACTTAACTAGGCTGTTCACTGCCGACTTTGTTGGCTTATGACCTGGTATACCTGCCACAATCAGAGCTCCTTCAATCGTAACATGTTCAGATCGATCTAAAGAATATACCTTAAAAGGCGCACTCGTGACCTTCATTGTTCTATTACCGCCCACAGTCTCAACTACCACTGATGCTTCGTCTTCGCTCAGCCCGAGAGACCTCAAACAGTTTGATTTTATCAGTGTCACATCAGAACCGTTGTCCAACAGAGCATAACCCACAATCTCGGCCTTTCGCGATTTCAACCGTACGGGAATCATGCCTAAACACACTTGATTGATTAGTGATTTAGTATATCCGCAACAATTCGAGATACCAGGTTTCTCACTCTCGCTGTGCAACAAAGAATGGTGTTTCTTTTCACAACCCTCAACGATACAACGCTTTGTCAGCTTACATTCCTTAACTCTATGTCCTTGTCTAAGACAGATGAAACAGATACCCTTGCTTTTAGCGTGAGACCATCGGTCTTGAACTGTAAGGGCTAAGAACTGTGGACATTTATCAATGGCATGGTCGTAGGAACACATACTGCATTTAGTTTTCATTGTCGAACTATTCCCTTGCTCTGATTGCACGTGACAGTTCGTCTTTACGTTATGTCCTTTTCTAGAACGGTTTGCTAACCGTCCAAATCTACTACAAGCCACTCTCGCACGCGATGCGATAAACTGAGTGAGCTCGTCGAAGGTCGGTTCCCTGTTATCTTCAGTCAATTTATCCACCCAGTCCGCCCACTGGGCTTGCATAGGTTGAGGCAAGAGTCTCACTATTCTTTCCAAGGTAACTAAGGAATTTAGATCAGAAGTATAATTCATCTGTTCCAAGACCATGGCACAGTTTTCCATTTTAATAGCCAAATTTGATAGTCGGTCCCCGTCAATATACTCAAAATTCACAGCACTGAATAAGTCCTCTAGTGTTTCTCGAGCAATTACGTAAGACTGTCCGAAAAAACGTTTTAAAATCTCCCTTGCTCTTTTATAGCCAGAGGATGCCTCCATCATGACGCAACCTTCAATAGCTGTTTTAGCCTTGCCCTTACAGTAGTGTATCAAATAGAGTAAGCGCTGGCTATCATCCGTGACTCTTGACGCTACATACGTCTCAAATTGCCTTATAAATTTCCAATAACCTCTTGGCTCTCCATCAAAATAACTCAGTTCAACCTTTGGTAGTTCTAGACCAACAACAGGCGCTATAGGCAAAACGCTTTTTCCTGATAATTCAAGCCTTTGCTTCTCCTTTAAACTAAGATTTTTTACATCATCTGACATCGAATTAAAACTAGAATCACAGCCATGATAATTAACCCTATTTAAGTCTGAACCATGACCCTTAAGGACGTCAAAAGGCACTTGCTTGACAACAGGGGATTCTTCGTTAACATCGACGAACTTTGAGCCTGATCTCCTTCGACGATTAACTGACATTACAAGCGACACGACCAATTATTTCCAGAAAATCCGTGAACGATTACCAAAGGATTTCGGCCAAGTAATACTTGTTTAGAACTGTAGGATCCAAACTACGGTTTGGATGTTGAAGAATATCCGACCGGGGATTTTAGACACGCGCCCTTTCCCGTCGAAATCAGAACAAGCAATCGGGTAACTAGCGGTTCTAAACAAATATTATCACCCGGCTATTCAACCAATGATTGTTCAATCAATTAAATCAATCACCACAAATAAATGTTATTCTATCCTGTCTGGATAGATCACGTACAGATTCGTTTAAAAGGTAATAATTGGTCGCTCTATAACACAGAGTGTTTTCAATTCTGGAAGAGTGCTTCAATTCACAACCAAAATGCACAATTCCAGTCAACACAGGTCAAGCAATCAAAAGCAGGGATAAACCAAAATGGCTGCCGCCCAGACTTAGTATAAAGTAAAACAACATAAGTGCAGTTCGGGAAGAAACATGGGGAATTGGTGAAGGTGCAGTAAAAACGAAACTATAATAACATACAAATATTAACAATTCAAATGTAGTCAAAAAGTTAACAATGTACAACTAAAAGAATCAATAGGAACAAGGTGTAAGTATATACATGGAGGGATTTTCACCAACACACAACACATTCAAAATGGATCTTACATTGATCGGTGCGGCATAACTCATCCTTGCGGGCGTTGTCACACTGTGTAAATTGCCCCGACTCACATTAAACATATTATTTTATCACCAGTCGAAATATGTTCTGTGGAAGTACCAAATGTCATAGGTCTGATTATCAAGTAGGACGAGTCAATAGAGATAACGTGACTTCTGCGTAAGATCTTATATATTAGGTGTTTGGGCCGTGACAAATCTATAATTTTAGGATTAGGTCTATTATTACAGTGAAAGATAAATGTACTGATACAAAAGCAGACCATAAATTTGCACTTTCTCATTGGAAGTACACGTACGACGTTTTACTACATTTTCTAAGTACTTTCGCGATGGCAAATGATGTGAGCCGATTAAGTGTAGGGCCTAGTCGATTCGGTGCATTTTACGTAGGGCAACTTCCCCTCTTTTCCTAATGATATCCTGAGATTCCAACTACATTTGTTTGTGCGGTGAGTCATCTCGTCTCATATAATGTTCAATTTATCGGTTGAGAGTCTCAAAAAAAGACCTCTCAAGCTGTAGGAAGGAAACTTGCAGATCTGATTGTAACTAGACTTTTAAACCCCTTCTATCATCCAGATATATCTTTCAATCGATTGGCCATAGGGTACTGCTATGAGCCGCGATATCAGACGATAGCGTTAAACACTATATCTGTGACATCTTCACAGATATCATTGCTTTTGCTACGGATCTGTGTTACTTCTGAACCACATGTTGAGTCGAAAAGCCCCAAAAATTAAGGAGCAGAAATTCTGCCCAGCTCTGTGTCCTCTTAATCTGCACCCATTTGTAAAAGTTCATCTGATAAACAATCGGCTTGTCATATCGGTTACCACCGTGCTTAATTATTTACCTTTACTTTAAGTATCCACCCGGTAGAGTGGTAGTTGATTAACTGAGCCTTAGTAAGCTAAATTCAAACAATGCTCAATCTATATCCAAGATTCTGTTGGGTGAGAACAATTGAAGAGTCAGAATTGTAACAAATTTAGTCTCACGCCCAACAACTCAATTGTAAATTAAAACGTGCCCTAATCTCTGTCATGGATAATTGCTTACTAGTACTTGTTGTTCTTACCATAGTATGTAAACACATCCCGTATTCTTACTGGGTTACGTTTATTTTCGTACCTCGCTCTTCCAAGATCAGTATGCTCAAGCTAATTATGAGCAAATAGAAATTACACCCTTTTTTTTTTATCTAGGATGCCTTCACAGATTTTGACCAAACAAGAGGATGCACCTATAGAGTTACGGTAAAACATGTTCATTTAACTCGCATTTATTCTTTGATAATTCCAGTTATATGACATCATCGCTTTTGGTCATAACATATTCCCATAATCCGGCATTCAGAGTCAGTTATTGGACTTTTTGATTCAGCCACGTAGTTGTATTGTGGTTTTTGTTTGACTGCTATAAAGCTACTCTGAAGATGTTCGTACAACCTTGTTAACGGACTTAAATGGCCTCGATTTCATGTCAGCAGGTAAAATAGTACCTATCAAGAAACATTATCCCAATGTCATCTCAAAATTTTCTGAAATTTGGTGTGGAGTTTGAGGGGAGTGGTCAGCTCTTCACCTTTGAGTGTGTAAGACAAAGTAGTCATAATAATGGATTTTTCCTTAGCCAGCTGTGTACGATGATATTATTTACAAGGTTTCGCAGCAGTACGTGATGCTATCCTTCTTTACGAATTTCACAGGTTTGGTATACCTCAATCTGAAACCTCCAATTACTGTTTTCGTAAAACAGAACACTCGGGTACAATTGAATATTATACGACTGAAGAGGTTAGCAAAACGTTTCATTAATTCGTTCTTGACAGAATTGTCGTATTAGGACTGGAGATGTTGTTCAACTAGTTGAAATTCCAGTGAGTTCCTAACAAGTATTCTTCATTGATAAAATTTGCAACAATATAACCTTAACATGGATGTAGATTTTAGCTATGCAGCTATACGACCTTGATTTTCAGTATTAGCAGCGTTAAGCAGCAACGTTTTCTACCTATACTCAAGAAATTGGGTCTTTTTACTTAAAGACTTATAAAGCAATAATTAATTATTATTACTACAGCGGTTTCCACAAAATGGGTCAAATTTTCCCCAAAATTGGGAGCTCGGATTGTGAAAGAATCACTATTGAATATCGGAAATGTCTAATTACATGAACGTTTAAAATATGCAATAAATCAATTATAATATCTTAAATTTGGTGTCGAAGATATATGCTTCATATATTTGGAAAATCAAGTATCGTCAAGGTGGGAAAACGTACTTAATAGCAGTTACACTGATCGTCTTAAATATTACTAGATGACCTAGTTTTTCATAATTATTAAGTATCATACTTGTGTTTTGTTTAAGGTCCTATCCATCCGCCTAGGCTGAAGTAATGTTATCCTATGGGACCACTCTTTGAACCTTTAAGCCAAAGATTTAATCCATAATATGTAAAACATGGTACCACAAGATGAAGAAAGGCGATCTGAATTTTTCGACCGCTCCTCGCAGGAGAGATTAGGAAAATTTCCCACCAGCTTAGTGCCTGTTTTTCGTTCACTTTGTATTTTCATCGTCTATAATTAGAAGTGAACTGACTGCAGGGATGCTGTATTCTAGATGAGGCATCATATGAGTGCGTTATAAAAGTCGAAACTTATCTTGTTTAAAGCATTTGAAGACTATGTGATGCAATCATAACACGCAAAACCCTTTAACAGATGTTACATTGCAATGTTTACTGATAAAATAATTTGTAGTAAAAAATCAAAACTATAATGAATATTGTTCTGACATGTTTGTCATACATTTCCGTATTGTCATCTATTATGGTGAACGAACAATGATTGAAACTAAGATTCAGGGTTAACGGTATTAGGGCAAGGGTTTAGGGTTAGAGCAAAGGGCTAAAGTAAGCAATCATGGTTACTAATTAGCTATAGGAATTTAGTTAAGAGTAGGAGAGTGATTTGCATTATTGATGTTCATACATATGCAGATAGTTATTTGAATATAAGTCTTAACTGCCTACAAGCTAGCTGGAAAAATGCTTGTCATGCTGAGATTCTATGGATGTTTTAGTTTTATTAGATCCTACTAATTTTCCTTCTAAACATCATTCACTTCTCTATCGTTGTCCCAAAAACCACTCGATGTTGTTTCTGATTATTGGTTTTGTAATTTCTATTAACTTAGGCGTCTTAGTAGCTAATTATGGGTAGATATTAATGTATTTTCAGTTAGCTCTTATTAAGTTACAAGCTATCTGTAGAGCAGCTTGACAGCAATATCTTGAACAAATCCTGTTACTCTAGAGCCAACAGATTGCGATTCCTTATAACTAGGCAACTGATTGTGAGTCCTTTTTTCATCACCTTTATAAGTACAATAAGTAGGCTCATAAGTCGTTAGTTTGACACGGGCTGTCTACTTCCATTATGAGAACATTATAGCTAGCGACATTGTCTTTTTAATACCTTTGGAGTTAATGCCAGATTCAATAAAATGGCACACCCAAACTCTATTTGAGTCAGAAGACTGTTTTGATTACTCAGAGACATTTATATGAACCAGTACTATCGCCAGAGATACTCTTGGTTCTCCCGTCGCTCCTTCATCTTTACTCGTACGTCGATATTCTGAAAAGTGATTAGTACCAACATCAGGATCAGGCTGGCAAACGTCATTAGTTTCATGTAACATTGTTTGATGTCACCTGAAAAAGCGTTCGATTGTACATACTCTTTGAAGTCAAAAACTTTTAGCCATACGTTTAGTTTTTATATGCAAGTGATACAACTTTCTGTCTCCATTTGTTGTCAATCTTTCCCGAATTTTTATTGCATGCAGTGTTGCACACTGGTCAGGATAGCGGTTTCACTGTTGATATGGTAGAGGACGAGAAGTCAAGTGGGGATAAGCAATTTATGGTTTAATGCACAATCACAGTGGTTTAAGAAAATGTGAAAATCATACATCAAATACATCTCATTTACACATCTTTTTTGGATTGTTTCTTACCAGCTTCATTGTTTCTTCACTCCTGTTTTTATCTTGATTGCTTTCAGTTTCCTCCTCTCTTCTCGTTTCAATCTTTACCTTCCGCTGTCAGGCATTCCAATTATTATTGATGTTATATGCTATTTATGTCGACAGGCATTAGTATAAACCACATTGGCTATTAACAGAAGCATACTGAGAAGCGAAAATATTTTTCTTTATACCGAATGATGTTTGAGTTAAAAAACTTATAACTTGTTTACCTGATTTCAAGCTTATAGCTAATTTTCTGTATCTTGTAATTACGATATCCACTCATTCTTCTACAAACTTAGCTAGATCTAAATTAAATTCCCTGCCTTGACTCATGTACTATACGCATAATACTGTGCACTCAAATCTAAAGTTCGAAGGTAAACGTAAGATTATAGTTTCTAGAGTTCTGTTAGCATTCAGATCAGATTTGTAGCCTGGTTGTTATAACTTGGTTCTGCATGCTTGCATTTTTTGTCCTAAATCAGAAAGTCATCAAATCACCGCTTCTAATCGGTGGTCTTTTTACTATTTCTTCTGTTAAGGACCTAATGATTATGTGGTTTTGTTCAGATCTTTTTTTAATATATCCAGTTAACCCAAAACCCTTTGAATCCGTCCATTATGACTTAATGTTCGGTCGCTTTCTTAGTTCTTCCAGTACTAAGCTGAGTTAGATAATCAAGTTTCTCAAAATCTCCCTTCGTCGTTTCTTTAACAGCTTTCTGAAATCCTTTCATGGAGGGCCAGTATTCAGTTGGATTGCCGTCAAACTTCCATACTTCTTATATAACCCTAAATAACGTTCAACGCGGTCTGGTACTGCCTTTGACATAGGTTAACCAATAAGAGTGTAGTCAGTTTGTGGATAATCAATTTAACGGACGAGGTACAAGAAAAAGAGGATTGACACTGATTACTAATAAGTAATATAGTCATAAAACAAGAATCTCAGCTGAGTTTCAGGTGTACGGCTATGTTGACGTACTTTGTTAGTATCTGCAAAGTAGACATTATTGAATTAATCTGATATGGAAGTAGTTTTGGTTGAGTCTTGATGGACTACTAACTTTAAGTTCTTATGTACTCATAACAATGGGATTCCATCTTTCCCCATGGTTCTCTTTCAAATACAAGAAAACAGTTATTTTAGTTAAGTTTTCTGTCACGTAAACCGTAGCTCTTATAAACAATCCGAGACTTTGCAGTATGATTTTTACATACAATTTAATGTATTCATAATTAAGTGCTTTATGATGGCTTATAAAGATAAACTTCCAGAGATCATCTTCTACCCTCTAGTATCTTTCATATTTGTCTGTATGTCCATGAATGGAGATATGGTAATATACATGTAGTTGACAATCAAATAAAAAGCTTCGTTGGTCTTTTAAATGTGGTCTCAGCCTTTTTCCACAATTTTTAAATGGACTAATCTATACCAACCAACCAGTCTGATAAGGAAGGGCAATTTCTGATAGCTGAAATGTCTGCATGCTGTATATTTTGTCGAACAATAGGAAACGGAGTCGTGCTTAATATTGTATGCTCTGATTAATTAGCACATCTCAGCGGTATACTATAACTTTATAAAGTAAACTATATACATTTGTTGGTTTATATCTGTTTTTACGCATGATATTATTTATCAGTTTTTCTAATAGAATCTTTTCCAAATATTCCCAATTTCTCAAATAACGTTGATACAATAATTTACCTAATTATTAAGTGTAACAGGTAGATTTTACGGACAACTGTTTGTACTATACCTTTTAGGTTATATATTTATATAGTCATTTATAAATCCTGAGGCTTTTCTTCCCTTTTAATAATCAGTTAAAAAGGTATGATGTAGATATGCTTTGCTTGGTTCACATATATATTATGTAGTGAAGCACTCATATGTCATGTAAGTATTGTCTCTTTGGCTTTTAAACAAGTATGCTTTAATTTCATGAAATATTAAAAGTATAGTAGCATATATCTCCTTTAATAGAAAGCAAATGGAGTAAAGGTTGCCGTTTTTTCGCCAGTACTAAACGCCTCCATAAACCAGTCGGTGTATGCGTCTAAAATGCTTTGTAGTCGAAAGTTTCTCATCTGACATTTTTTGGACAAGGATTCAATCAGTAAGAAATGTTCCGGTACTATATTTAATATGAAATAGTTGGTTATTTACATTTCGATAGGAATTCATTATTACAACTAATCTGACATGCAGTGGTGATATCTGTAAATATTCCTAAAAACGGATTCTGATTTCTTTTTCTCAATTTGGCTGGTGTACATTTCAAAATAGTTAAGGATTTTAGTGGGATGAAAACAATGTTATAGTTAAATAATTTCATCTTTTTTAATGACTAATTTGCAAGATACAGATTCGCTTGCTTTTTCTTTGAGTTGTGTATTTCAAATATGAAAGTTAGTGATGCAACCTCGTTACTTAAACTAAAATAGGTGATGTTAAGTTCTGGACATGCAATTTAGTAACAAAAAATCAAATTTTTCCCAAACCTATTGTGTCATCGCTTCAATTCAGCGTTTGACTGTGAGTTAATACTTAAACTGATGGCTCTTTAGACTCTATTCTCCCACTTAACACAGTTTGAAGTCAGTCACATTTACACTAACTTAAGATTTATTAGTGAAAGGACTAAATGCTTAGTTGGAAATTAATAGATCGAATTGTTTATAAAATCTGTTGAAAAATAATCATGGAAAATGTAGCATATATATAAGAATCATGTGATTATGTGTGACAAAGTTAAGGATTAAGTGGTAAGAGCATAGTTTAGGAATGAGCTTGAAACAATTCCGATGAATTTCCAGCCAGTGCTTA